GGACGGGAAGGGGGGATCGCAGGAAACTGTCGAGCAAGTGTAGGAAATGCGAGAGTAAGGGAGAAAGAAGTGGAGCGGAGATAGAAAAAAAAAAGTAGAGAGAGAGAGGGAGAGAGAGAGAGAGAGAGAGAGAGAGAGAGAGAGAGAGAGAGCAAGGAGACAAGCCTCACAAACTCGGAGTGATAGTGTAAGTGGGTGGAAGAGCATCCTCCCCCAACCCCCCGCCAAGGCCAGAGCCTAGCGAGCAGCTCTGCATCGACCAATGCGTGTACCCCCTTCCTCCCCGTCTCCTTTCTCGCAAAATTCCCACGGGAGACTAATAGCAATAGCGAAGCTGTTGAGGAGAGGGAGGTGAGTCGTTGGGGGGAGAGGGGGGAGGGTAGGCCGGGGGGCGAGCGGGTAGTGAAAGAACGCTCAAGGGATGTAGGGCAGGACGCGCGGGGAAAAAAAGTGGGAGGTGTAAAGTGGATAACAGAGTGGCAAGGAAAAAATCAACTAATAAAAGTTTGATGGCAAGCTGATACACGCTGAGGCCGCCGCTGGAGCACCCAGGGCAGCCCTTGGGCACCCCTGTAACGCAAAGAAAGAGTGGCGGCAGACTCACAACGTTACTGTTCTCTGTGTCAAGGACAAAAGCTTAAAAGACAGTTCAGGAAGTAGGTTTAGGAGAAAGTAGAGTACAAAAAAAACAGAAGTGGTAGCTGAACCGTCACATGCATCTTCTTTTTCTTGCACCTCAAGGTATAGAGGAAGTCCTCCACCCCCCCCCCCACATCCTCTCTCTACCTGGTGTGTGCTTTGCAACCACCATCTCGGACCAGCAGCACGCTTGCCACCACCCCCATCTAATCCCTCTCGCCCTCCCACATCCCCCATCTCTCTCTCTCCTTCCTTCCTCCCCCTCACCCCTCCGCCCATAGCTGAGCAGTTCTACAGTGCGAGACGGGGCGGTATGGTCACAAAGGGGACGGCATATCTAATTAGCGCCAGGGCTGCGTGCAAGTACACTGCACGGGGGGAAAAAGTAATCAACTCGGACGGAGGTATTATTGTTATTATCATTTCAACCGAGCGAAAAAAAAACAGGGGAGGAGGAAACGGGGAAAAAAAGGGGAGAGAAGGGGGGTGAGGGCACAGAAATAAGCAAGGGAAACTTGAAGCATCATAAACTTTGTCTGATTCGCGCCACTTTCCTTCTGCTGTTCTTTCTATATCTTTATCTGCT